AATTAGGGTTGTAAACGAACCGAACGAACACGAATGGTAAACGAACGAAAATCTTTGTGTTCGTGTTCGTTCGTTTAGAAATCAGGTGTGTTCGTGTTCGTTTATGTTTGTTCATTAACATGTTAAACGAACGCAAACAAACGGGCTAAATGAACATAAACGAACGGACTAAACGAACATAAATAAATATTATTTGAATTCAAAGTAAATAAACAAAAGACTATAAATTAAATTTAATATATAAATGAACATAAACGAATGAATATAAACGAACGTAAATGAACGGACGTTCACGAACATAAATGATCGAACGAGACTCTTGTTCATGTTCGTTCGTTTAACATAAATGATCGAACTTTCGTTTCGTTTACAACCCTAGTTCCAATAGATAAATTTTTTTAAACAATAAACACTTACATATTTAAAACACAGTAAATTACATTTTACATCTCTATGGTTTGTCATTTCGATTTTCACCCCCATGGTTTAAAAATTGCAGTTTTCGTTCTTATGATTTGTAATTTATTAATAGTTTCATCTCTAAACTAATTTATTACCCTTTTAAGTACAAAAGACCAAGATAGTAAAAAAATATAAACCACAAGAACTGAAACAACAATAAATTATGAATTATAAGAACAAAAATATCAATGATTTACATACTATATGAATGAAAATCATAATATCTAAAGCACAAGAACGAAAACTGTAATTTTTTAACAAACCGTAGGGACGAAAGACGTAATTTACTCTATTTAAAAAGAATAAAAAGCACTAACAAATCAATAATAACGAAATTTCAATAAAGTGAAAAAAAGGTTTTAGGCTACCTTTTTTTTGCCTAAGGTCTACTTAATCTAGAGACAGCACTATGAGTCCATGAGATCATCCTATAAAGATTTAAGGAAAATTGACTCAGATAATCATATTTAACAATTGAATTAACCTTTTAGTCATTATTTTTGGATGTTATCGAAAGTTACTGGGTTCGTAATATCCAGGTCCGTAATTATTGCGGACCCACTAAACGACAAAACAAAATCAACGTTTTTGGGCCAAGTCCATAATCAACAGTCTGCAGCTATTACGAATTCGACCCAAAACTCATTTTTCTATGGATCGGCCCACCATCCAACATGGGTTTTGGGCCGGATCTGTAATAATTACGGACCTGGGCAAAAAAAAAAAAAAAAACTCTAGAATTTTGTCGTTTAGTAGGTTCGTAATTAGGTATTGCGGACCTAATGACTTTTTGGTGTAGTTCGGAGAGAAATGGTTAGAAGATCAATTTGGTTATGGAATATGGTCATTTGGGTCTATTTCCCAAGATTTAATCTTGAAAATTCAAATTAGATGTTTTTTAGTTGTCCAAGGGGTTGTTTACTAAACGTTTACCAAGTCATATTACCTTGTCGGATGAATATAGCGAAGACCAAGAATCTTACCTGGTAAGGGCGAAGGCAAGGACCGAGAGTGTTACTCAGTAAGTGAGGACGACAACTCTTACCATGGTTAGCGCTTACCGGGTAAATTGTTGCATACGATGCCATATTGGTGGACTAAAATCTTACCCGGTAAGTAAGTGATAGTGTTAGATTTTACCTGTAAATGCTTGGATAAGTGTTTGGTAAACGACCCCTAAACTTTGTAACAGTAAGATGGTATAACGTGTATGATGTTTAATATTGGTTTGTAACAAAATAAAGTTGAATACGTAAATTATAAATAGATTGATCCAAATATCATATCGATATGCAAACATACTGACGAATGGTCAAGATGCTAATCTCTCCTAATCTAAGAGCGTTATGAATGTCTTCCTTTACCGATTCAACTTATTCATATGTGAATTCGATCAAAAATGGTTGGTAATTTCACGCCTATTACAAGTATTATTCGTCTCCTCTGCACCTTTTCTCCTTCTTTTCTGTATGTAACCTATTTTTGTACGTATTTCAACTCCCCAAAAACGTCTCCAAGAAGCTGATGATCCCCGTTTTATCTATTTCTCCCTTTTATATTAAAAAGTTCTCAAGTTCGAAAAGATATTCAAAACAATCAGTTGTATAATTTTTATTCTGTTACTGATTTTTTTTAAAATTTCGTCATCAATTCCTTTAGTGCCAGTCTAGTCTAGAACGTTGGAAAATTTTAGAAACAACATTTGTTTTTATCTTGCACAATAAGTATATGTCAAATGGTGTTACCACGTCAATTATTGCTTAACAATATGTTATCGGAAAATACATAACTATACGGACATTATAATCGGTCATCAAGGCCCACTCCGCTCTAATTAAACCATTGACCGACGAGAGAGTGTCACATGACGGGTTTTTTAGAAGTCATTACAAACTGGTTGTCCCTAGGGTTTAACCGGTCGCTTATCTAGACATTTGACTATTGGCCATTTTAAAGAAGTCATATGTAATAAGGATCAACTAGTTATAATCCGTCCCTATCGAGATTCAGGTTCCTCCACTCAAATTTTAAACATGTTCCTCCAATCAAATTTTGACATGTGTGTTAGTGAACGTATGTCGATAAATATTAGTCAAATATAGATAAATATGATTGTATCTTTGATTAATATTTATCATATATGTTTACTAACAGTGTGTAAAGATATGAAGCCAATTTGTACCCGTTAAGAGGTGAATGGAATGGTTATGTAGGGTAGGGGGATATATATATATATATATATATATATATATATATATATATATATATATATATATACACACTCCTTCAATGTCGATACAACATTTCTTCTCTTATATATTATCATTCCTTCGATGTCGATATAACATTTCTTCTCTTATATATTATCATTCCTTCGATGTCGATATAACATTTCTTCTCTTATATATTATCATTTATATATATATATATATATATATATATATATATACACTCACACTAGAAGGATACTCGTGCAATGCAACGAAATTTATCTTGATTTTAATATTTCATTTTATTATTTATTTCAGTCGATGTTATAATATGGTTGTATGCGATTTTGAGAAAGCGATAATGTTTTTATTTTTGAATAAAATATAAGTTTGAAGATATCATAAAAATTTGTTAAAAAATATATCGGTATTAATATCAAATTAACTATTTAAAATTCCTCATTTTTTTGTGTAATTTTTCAATTCAATTTTTTTATAATTTAATTTAGGTACAATAACGAAGTAATTTATATTTGGTTTAATAATATAATTTTCTTATAAAGATAATAATTGTTTATTTTGTTAAAACTCGATAATTATTCTAATTATATTTTTTTATATTTTAAAATGAGATGTTTATCCTCTATTTAATTATGTTTATCCGCAATTAGTTATACGAATTCAAACATCAAGTTTTAATAAGTTGTACTTATGCATAGTTTACTTGTAATCTTGAATTTTAAGTAAATATGCATAAATAAACAGTACTTCGTACATAAAAAATCGTTTTTAAGAGTTTTTGTCAATTTTTTTAGAATATAGTATAGATATGTGTGTGTATAAAATATAAATTAAATGATAATAAATATAAGAGAAAAAAATGTTGTATCGACATCTTATTGAAAAGAAAGAAGAAAATAAGGAAGGAGTAAAAAACATATTTTTTCCGTTGTTCCCACCTCTATAAACACCACAATTTTGACTTACTTTCCTTCCCTATTAAATTATTACATATCAACATCAAAACTTACTTTTTACATTATCACGATTCTGACATTAAAGAAATGCATACAACATTACCATAAATTAACTGATTTTCAATTAATCATTCAACTTCATAAGTTGAATTATCGCAGTCCCTCCCACAAAAATCAAAACAAAACAAATATTTTAATTATATATATTTATTATTTTATTAATCATATACTAAAAATAATTCATGTCAACATCCTACGTACAAAATGAAGGAGTTTTCCAAATATGAAAGGGAAAAAAATGCAACTATCAACCATTTAAGATCATAGAAGGGGTCCCTTGTTCCCTTTGTTTTTATCGGAACATTTACTTGGAATATTAAAAAAAAAATTAAGATCACATATGATTATAGAGTAAAATCACATGTGATTATAGAGTAAAATCACATGTGATTACAAAGAACACGAACGACTTAGTCAGGAGAAAGGTCACCCACTCTATAGCCAGTCAATACAACATATTTATATCACATGTGATTACGTGTTTCCTACCATATATGATCTTGAAACTTTTCGTATTTTCTTAAATCGAAAGAGGAAAAAATAATAATATATGTTACGAAAAATTTGACCCATTTTATCTTTTAAAAACATTAATCTTGATCATTCTACATACACCAAATGATTCCAAAACTACCATACAACCATAAAGTCATGGACTATGGACATGTTTTGGCCATGTCTAGGGCAATTCTCATCACTCATTTCTCATGATCTCTTGGTCCTTGTCTTCATTTATTTTTGTTATTTCGACCGACATCATATCAATTAAAAACAAAAATAAAATGTAGGGTTTTTGTTATTTCAATCGACATCATATCAATTAAAAACAAAAACAAAAAATAGTGAGAAAAAAAAAGCAACAACCAAATTATCTTGTGACAAATACTTAACTTCAAAATGAAAACAAAATGATGTAACAATTTTATTAGACATCAATAAAATTGAATTAATTTTGATGGTTGCTATTTGTATCTTTATATAGATCAAAATCGAGTCAAATCATACATTAAAAATGTAATATTGTATTCTTAACGGTGATATTATAGGGATACATCGACTCCTTAATTTTCAATGTCTTGCACTTTTGACGTAACGAACAATCTTTAAAAAAAAAAGCAGAATAACCGACATGATTCTATTTACAACATAAACTACCCATTTAAGATGATCAGAATCAAAAGCACCCCATATAACATTATTCTGTTTCCAATTTCTGGCTTCTTGCAGAGACACCTTTTGGTTTGATTTCATGTATCTAATTACCAAATCTTGGACAAGAATCAGAGCAATATCAGTTTCGTATGCCACGATTTGGGCAGACATTTGCAAAATGTGATGGATCGCCGCAAATAAAGCAGCTTCTGCCAGAAACAGGGTCACCTGTGGCCGATACAAATCTCACATCACTGCCATTTGCTCCACCCCCTCGGCCACGATCACCCCTCCTGCTGGTGGTTGTAGTGGGGACGCTATCCTCCCAACATCTACATGAGTTGCAAAACACAGATCTCTTTGGTTACATTTTTCAAGAACGGCCTTTTAAACAACGAATGTAGAATACTTACACAAAGAATTTGCAGCCCTGTGTCTGACAAGAGTAGAACTTCCGACCCCTGTTATTTTCTGTGTTGGCAGTTTTCAAAAGACAGGGTGAACCACACGTACTGCAAGGAATTAATGAATCGCCTGCATTACCAGAAAACTGATTGAATACCCGATTCTAATTTGTCAAAGGTTATACATCATGTACCAACCAAAGGCTTGTGCCCCTATTTTTTCCTATCCCAAAAGGGAGATAGACTAAAACTAACCAAAAGAAATTACAAAAAAAGAAAACCAAAAGCCAACATGAAGAGATGAAAACCTTTGGGGTTTTGCAACACCAGAAATTAACCTAACCAAACCAAACTAAGGGGATGTTTGGTTTGTTTTCCATTAAGTCCTGTATGGATAAAGCTGTGTGTGTCAGTGTGTGGATTAATCTATCTGTATAGGTTGAGAAGGTTTTTGTTTGGGAGAGTTTTTTCATAGATCAGAAAAACGTGTTTTTAGTTGGGAGGGACAGGTTTGAAAAAAACTTGATTTCTGCATAAAGCTCCCCATAGAAGCTTACTAGATACGTCACGGCGTCACCTTCTATATCATTAAGCCACTACCAAACAATGTGTGTAGCTGACCAAATAAGTTGCGAGTCTCATTAAGATGCTAATAAACAGACTCTAACTCAATCTATTTCACACGGAGTTGGGGTCTATGGGTTAGTTTGCTTAGGAATTATAACTCATGAGCCAAAATCAGCAATTTTCCTGTGTAACGAGATGTTACCCATCATCCAAATAGTGGCATTTTGACTGGATTCACAAGTGGCCGCCTTTCACAACTGGCCATTTTGACTGAGCTATCCCCCAACTTGTTTTAAAATAGTGGCATAAGGTTGAATGTCCATGGATTTTTAAATGTATAGTTATATACTATTAGACATGTAGGTTAATCATCTATATAAACCAAACAAAACGAACCCAGTAACTCCACTTGCAAGTAGGGTTTAGGGGGGTAGGATGCACGCAGACCTATCTTCTAACCCAAAGATTAGAATGGTTTGGAGACCCCTGGCTTTTGCCAAAATGAGGCTAACCGTCTATATATTTTGAAATTCAGAACATTGGTTATGAGACAACCAAATGAGACAGGGATGGCTCTTGGGCTATTTGTTCCAACATTTACAGCAAAAAGAAAATATAAAAATGGATGTAAGCTATCAATACCATTATGAGAGTTCCCTCCCTGAGATTGAGCACTACGGGATTGAGAAGTCAGTGAGTAACAATCACTTGAAGAATGTCCAGTCTGGTGGCAGAAACTGCAAGTACTCTGCGGTTGATTATTTGGAGAATTATTCCTGGAAGATGCAGTGGTTCCTCGTCCTCTTGCTGAAAGAATGTGTCAAACAGTTTAATAATGTGCACAATCAAGATGAAACGACACTTGAAGAATGTCCAATCTGGTGACAGAAACTGCAAGTACCCTGCTGGTGGTTATTTTGAGGATTGTTCCTGGAAGATGTAGTGGTTCCTCGTCCCCTTGCTGAATAAGTCAAAACGGTTTAATAAAATGCATAATTAAGGCGAAACAACATGATTCTATTATGAGGAAACCCTGAGTTTATAAAAATAGAGAGAAATTTTAGCACATTCCAAAACAGACAAATAAAGAAATGCAAGAAAAGTTGGACTCAGTGACTGAACTCGCATCAGAAGTGGAGTATCTCCTGAGAATGGGATTGTGACAATGATCTTTTCGGGACACATGAATACCGATCAATCATGTATTTGAAGGACTTGCGTTCTTTCATTGATTGACCTTAATAGAGTTTTCAATTAGAACTAGAAGCATGACCCTTTAAAACAAAATAAAAACTCAAAATACAAAACCTGCTTCAGGTGTTAACAAGTCTGCCCCATCAAATCTTAAAGAACACTAGAAGGCTAGTTTGTAAAAATGGCTTCTGTAGAAGGTTATTTAACAAAATAACCTGACTTTTAGATCTAGTTTGGCATGTTCTAGACTACTGTCATGAACAAAACAAGGAAACTAGAGATATTGAGTGTTATAGGAAACAATATATTAGTAGATACAAGATGGTACATGGTATCACACCAAGGAACTCATAGAACACCATTCAACCAATTGAAAGATCTGCAATCAGAACTCCAGTCAACCAGAAATCACAAGGGACATAATCATGAATCAAGACAGTAAGATTGCAGAAGAAGGTTCGTGTATAATAATTCTATCAGAGGTTGTGTAATCCATAAATTAGAATAGGTATATATTTAACATTAAAGGCTATTTTGGACTAATTATATTTTATAAATAAGAACTAGACACTTAATGTGTCTACTTAATCGCAGCATAACCATCTAGATGGTAGGCATTTGGTCGATCACCTAGCTCTGATTAGCGCTTTTTAAAACACTGCACTTAAGTAGTGACTTGATGGTTTTGATGGTGGCTGTTGGCAGTGAAAGTTTTAAGGTTAGAATTTATACAATAAAAGCGTAGGAAGGTTCTCACACTGTATAGAGAATTAGAGTGAAAACAACATAACTCTATAACATATAAGAACAGAGTAAATGAGTCCATGGTCCAAAAAGAGATATACCCCCTCTGTCCTAAAATAAGTGTCCCTAATAAAAAAGCACATAGTTTAAGAAATGTGTAATTAACTAAATGGCAATTTTACCCTTAATGATAGAGGCAAGCATTCTCTCTTTCTCACTCCATCTCATCAACTCTTAAATATTTGCGCATTATAATCAAGGGTAGAATTAAAAATTCAATAAACTATAACTATCTATTTTTGAAAGTGGACACTTACTTGTGACAAACTTAAATAGAAATGTGGACAATTATTTTGGGATGGAGGGAGTGCAAGGTAAGATATGCAGAACACCATAAACATATTACACTGCATAATTTGGTCGACTACAGCTCTTTCAAAGTGACTTAATTACATTATCATGCTTGTGTAATGCAACTAGTTACAATAGGAGGCAAGATTCATAAAACTACAATTAATGTTGATTATAGGAGATTATAAGTAATTAGTTATGTATAAGCAATCCTGAATGTGTGCCCAAAGAAAGATATTATTAAAAATTTAAAATACCATCTGAATGTGTCTACGTTATTAGACAACTATGACTCTAGTAGAATAGACTACATACCTGGTACGCTTGAAAAATTGCGATGTGCAGAAGCAGATATTTCCATAAGCTCTCTCATAATATCATCACAGCCACCAACACAACCTAGATTCGGTGCACAATAGTTCAATGCTACTCATAAGAAAATTCTACAGAACTAGTAAAATGCACCATATTAGAACAAATAAATTAAAACGACGAGTATGCCAAAAACACCACTCACGACTCAACCACAAAGTGACGCTCCGTAAGAACCAAAGCTGTAAAATTCATGACAAATTCTTAGGGGATCGGGATGCAATGTTAACTGTTAAGCAAATAGAAGGACTATATTCCAAAGTTGTAATTGGTTGGTCTGGGATATATCCCCTTATGCTAAAGAAACTTTCAACTTCTTAGAGGATCACTTACTATGAGTGGATTCCAAATGTAGATAAAATAAAACCAGATGGAGACTTGTCTTTCAATCATGAAATCTTGTGAAACGATTAATCAGTCAGCATTTAGCAATGAATTAAATCATCACCAAGCTAAAGAAGTAACTTGTAAAAAGAATTAAATACAAATATAGATCACCTAAATGATGGACACTGAAGTCTGGTGGTATTTCCAGCCGGCGAAATGTAAACTGAATCTTGAAAATGGGTCCTGTAACACAATTCTCCATTATCAGCATGTAGTTGACATATTTACACATAGATTAATCCAAAAAGAATAAAGAATAAAAACGAGAGAGACAGGGAAAAGATTATTCTAACTAAACAACATGCATGATCAAGGCAAAATACAATAACCTGGAGTGCACACATTGCAAACAGTTGTGGTAACAGCCGCTTCTGATATGGATCCAGGAAGCCAGATGGCATTTCTACACTGCAGTTAAATTAATATACACCACATAAAAGATAAGAGGCGTAGAGCCAGAAAGTTAAGCTGCAAAAAAGAATGAAACGTTTTCTTAATGCCTCAAAACATCAAATAACAACCAAAAACTTGCCTGTGGAAAAGCCATGCAGCCAATCATGAACTTCCCATCCTGTAAGAGAGTGAAAATCATATTATAGAATGATGACAACTAGATTTTAGTTTACACCATGACTACACAAATCTAAAAGAAGTTCCAATCACTTAATCGTTCAACAAAAAAGGTGAGTGAAAATCAAATCCATCTAACAAGAAGATAAATGCTTAGGACTAAATACGATATATTGGAGAAATACCTCTTTTAACAACCTGAAAAGAACAAGTACCGTACGAATGGGAAAAATGACACCTTATAAATGTATTTTTGTTGTATAGCGGGTAGGGACACAGTTGACTGCATACAATGAGTTATTATCTTTCGTAACACTCGAATATAATAAACAAAAGGAGGAAAACAGGCATGGAGTTGGGGGGGGGGGAGAGATGGAGAAGAAAGGAGAAACAAAAAAGAGAAGTGGCAAAGATCAACCTCACCACACAATGTACATGTGGAAAATGAATTGTATATGAAAAAGAAGTGACTTTCATGGACCATAAGAGACTCATTTTGAAAACAATACCGGTTTCTTCCTAAGAACCAAATCTGAGTCCTCGCAAACATCACATCGCCGCACAAGCTCTCCAATATTATGTTGCTCATCTCCACCAGTTCTATTTGTTCTGTATAGATAGCAGAAACCATAAGTACCAGTTTTATCTACTTCATTTGCATGAGAACTTATATGAACCAACCTGTCAAAGAAAATTTCCAAGGCTTGGAAAAGTTTCACTTTATTTAACCTGGCCTGCAAAGTATTCCAGTTCAAGTCAACGAATTAACATATAGAAATGCATAAGGGTACACACATGTGCCAGAATTTGATGAGGTATAAACTCAGGGAAGATACAAATGCAATAGCAAAAAGCCTATTTGGTTGTTTTAGTTTAGCATGGACACCATAATTATGCAGCAGCTACATACTGTTGTAGACTACAATTTTGATTGATTTTGGTATGACTTGACAATTTTACAACTACATTAAAAAAAAACTCAAGCATTCTATTATTATTTTTAATATAAATACATCTTCTGTTCCTTTCAGAAATAAAAATTTGTATTTGAAAAAGAGTACCATCACTTGCCTTTTCGCTAACAGAATCATCAGTGATCAACAATTTTTTTTACAATTAGATGCATCTTCAATGTATAGGACAATTTAAATAGAACTTCCTCATGTTAAAGAATATGTTGAGATTTATCTAATTATCTTTGCAGGATGATAAGTGATAAAGAGGATCCTAAATCAAGTCAATCCAAGCAATTTAGTATAAAATATGGAGCTAAAAGCATAAAAATGCAAATTTGATTTCTCTAACGAACAAAAGATGCTTTCAACTAAAAATTTTGTTGAAAGAGTGTTCCTTGAACAATACGTGCATGGACATATTGGTGAAAAATTCAGGGTATCAACATACATCCAAGAAACAAGCCTTCATCTGTTGTAAGCAAGTTGCCAAAACTTCAGCTTTTCTCTTGTTGCCTACACTAACTGCTTTCATGTCCTCCTCCATCATACTGCGGAGATATGGTTTCCAAAGTTCATACCTGAAAGGGAGTATAACCGTATAGGTGATCATTCCTCATAAGGATGTCAAGATATGTGATTCTCTAAGCAATTTACAAATTTAATTAAGAGATTACAGGTTTCGACTCCTCACCCTCGTTAAGACTATGATCAAAGTTTAGCTTTATAGAAAGCTAAAAGCTAGAAATAAAATCTTACGAATTTAATGCTATGCCGATTTACACTTTATACACTGGCTAACATAAAAATGAGTTTACAGATTTGTCCAGGAACAGCTACAGTCCATCTAAGCATTTATTTTTGGGTAGCATGATCTAATGTTTTAGAAGGATACAAATCACCAACATCAATCCAAAGAATGATTAAAGAAAACTTAGTTGTAAAAAGAAAAATGTTCCAGTGCTGACATAAGATTACACACAAGAAATTATGTCTTACCCCATATCATCATATCCCATAACTAATGCCTCGCCCTGTAATCACATCCAAATTCATAATTAAAATTTAAAAAAAAACTAGTAGAAAGCAGGTAAAATGATGCATTCGTAACAGAGTATATTGACAAATGCTTATTGCTAGACTGAACCGTCTAACAAGATAAAACTTTTTGACTCCCGAATTTGTATCCTACTTTCACAAATCTTCATGTAAAACCTGCTTGAGTTAGATCTTTATTTCTCATCGGAGTTATTTTACAAAGACTTGCCAGCCCTGCCTTCGGCATCCCCCTCCTTGCGCTCCTCAGCCTACAGGGTATTAGCAGCCGTTTCCAGCTGTTTTATCCCTCCCAAGGGAAGGTTCTTATATTTTTTTATACATGCCAAAGTGATGGAAAACTAGAATCAAAACAAGTGATTACTGAGATTCGCGCAAGAACATCCACTTTGATTTTGCTTACTATACCTGATGCTGTAGCATTATAAACTAAACCCCTTTTTTTTACCATTAGCGAGAACAGGCTCCGTTAGATCTAATTCACTTAATTTCAGATCGATTAGGTATTAATCAATATTTGATTGATTGGTCTATAGCCACATAAGCATGCATATCTGCAAGGATGTGTGAACTAGAGATAAAAAGATTGTTTCTTACTACATCAAAAAGGTTACCTAGGACCATGATGCAACATCTTGAGGAGGATAACCTTCTACATTAGGTGACAATGGTTCAAAGTACCCCCAGTATTTAGAGAACTACTAACAGGAACATATAGGAACAAAAAGATTCTAGAGGGTGAAAAACGAAATTAAAGCACATAAGATTTACATCCTCCATCCCAAAATAAGTGTCTGCATTTCTATTTTAGTTTGTCCAAGAACAAGTGTTCACTTTCAAAGTGTCTACTTTCCAATTCTACCTTTAATTATGAGATGGAGAAATTATTACTCCCTATATTATTAAGGGTAAAATTGCCATTTAGTTGATGATGAAGTGTAATAACTACATATTTCTAAAACTTTATACCTTTTTTATTATAGAAATTTATTTTGGGACAAAGGGAGTATATCATTTCTAACATCAGAGAGAAGATATACAAGATTAGTTGGCCTGAAATGTGACGACTCTTTAGTAGCATAAAACCGATCGGTTAGCTTTTTGATGTGATCGTGCATTGTAGCATCTGTGCCAATGCCTGCCTAAAAATGACAAAAGAAAAGGAGGTTGAAAAATAAATAGAGTTTCTGTGACAATAATATGTATTATTTGATGCTAAAGGGAGAGGCAAAGCCAAGTGTTGATGTTCCTTACCTTGTCCATACAATCTAAAAGATCAGCTTCACTTAAGAGGGGTGGTGGTCTAGTAGTCCCTGAGTCAAGAGTCAATGATGTTGGAGTGAACTGCAATATTTTCAAGCACATTGAGATATCTGTCTTCCATCCATATTAATGAAGTTACTTAAGACCCAAAAAGATGGTTAACCATATGAAATTTCAAATTATTCACTATATTTTGGCACAATGTAGGGAATGATCAGCATCCTCCATATGTGGGAGCCTATTTCTTTTACTCAGTGAAAAAAAGAACTCAAAATGATACCCTAGACTTACATAATTATAGTGAACCATCTTTCATAAATCAACAATAAGAAAAGAAATAAAAATGCAACTACAATATTAAAACTTACTAATGATATTTCAAAACTCCTCTTTTATTCCTACTCCAACTCTCTCTCTCATCACCAAGTACATTGTTGGGAGATGAGGAGCTCCAAAATGGGGTCAGCTCATTCTATATGCTTTTAGCAATATGCTTCAATCAAACCTTGAATTTATTGATTTTATTGTATATTTAAAAGACATAATACGTGCCCTATATATAGGACAGATAATTACACTTTAATACCCTAAGCAGTTACACTTTAATACCCTCAACAATAAGGTTATTTAACTTAGTCTAACATTCCCCCGCAAGTTGAGGGCGGGGAACGACCTGCAACTTGGACCGTAGAAACTCAAATCTTTGTGAAGACAAGGGCTTTGTAAAAACATCAGCAATCTGGTCATTAGTGGAGATAAACTTGACATTCAATTTTCCTTGAGCAACTTGTTCACGAACAAAGTGATAATCGACTTCAACGTGCTTTGTGCGGGCATGAAAGACTGGATTTGCAGAAAGATAAGTTGTGCCAAGATTATCACACCAAAGTGTGGGTGCCTTGCAAATCAAACCGAGTTCATGAAGAATGGACTTTAACCAAATCAGTTCTGCTACAGTGTCAGCAATAGCCTTGTATTCAGACTCGGTTGAAGATAGAGAGACAGTTCGTTGTTTGCGAGCAGACCATGAAATAAGGTTTGAACCCAAATAGATAGCATATCCCCCCGTGGATCGACGATCAATAGGGCAGCCTACCCAGTCGGAGTCTGAGAAGGCTCTAAGATTAGTGTCCAAGTGAGAGTCTGAAAAGGCTTGAAGTCGAGACCCCGTGTTGTAACGAAACAATAGACCGAGGTTGATCGTGCCCTTTAGATACCGCAGGATTCGTTTGACACCAGCCCAATGATTTTCAGTCGGAGCATGCATGAACGGATACACCTTGTTAACTGCGAAGGCAATATCTGGACGAGATAAAGTGACATACTGGAGGGCCCCGACTGTCTGCCGAAACCGAGAGGGATCATCAAGTAAGGGACTGTCATCGAGTAAGAGTACTTGAGAGGTACTCATAGGAGATGAAATAGGTTTGCAAYCCGCAAGACCAGCTCGGTGAAGAATATCAAGAATATATTTTCGTTGAGACAAAAGGAAATCAGAACCATGGTGTACCACTTCAATGCCCAAGAAATAAAGCAGTTGGCCCAGATCTTTAAGAGCAAATAGAGAGTTGAGACGATCAATGATGGTAGTTACGGCAGCTAGGTTGTTACCGGTGATGATAATGTCATCGACATATACAAGAAGATAAATGAGCGTGTCATCAGAGTTGAGAATGAAGAGAGAAGGGTCAGTTTTAGACCCACAAAACCCCAGATGTTGAAGAGCAGTACACAATTTTGTGAACCAGGCACTAGGAGCTTGTTTGAGCCATATAACGACTTGTTCAGTAAGCACACATGATCTGGCCTGTTAGGATCAACAAAACCAGGAGGTTGGAGCATGTAAACAGTCTCTTGAAGATCACCATGTAAAAATGCAGTCTGGATATCTAACTGACGTAGAGACCTTTTATTTGTGACGGCCAGTGATAACACGGTTCTGATAGTAGCAGGTTTGATTACTGGGCTGAAAGTCTCGTGATAGTCAATTCCATGTTGTTGATGGAAGCCCTTGGCAACAAGCCGGGCCTTGTACCTGCTAATCTTTCCATTCGCATCTGTTTTCAACCTGTAAACCCATTTACAATCAACCACGTTAGTATTAGGAACAGGGGGAACTAATGTCCACGTGCCATTTTGATGAAGCGCAGTCAACTCTTCAGCCATTGTTTGGCGCCATTCTAGGGACTTGTTGGCAACGGTAAAGGAGGTAGGTTCAATAGGTAAGGTAGGGGTAGTGGTGGCAGTGTAGGCAGCGTATCGGGTGGTGGGTTTAGGGTTGGGACGAAAGTTAGGAGGCCGAGGCCGAGGGGCTGGAGGTGAGTGGGTGGGGGCGGGATTCAGGTCTGGTGAGGACCCGAGGTTAGGGGTTTGGGAGGGTGAGGTTGGTGGGGTTGTATCGAGTTGTGGAGATGGTACGGAAGGTGGTGGTGGGGTTGTTTCGGGTTGTGGAGGTGGTATGGAAGGTGGTGGTGGTGGTGGTGAGTTGGGTTCGGTTGGAAAACCGGGTGGTGGGGTAGGAAAAATAGATATGTATGGAGAGTCGGGTTGGGATGGAGAGCGAGTAGAAGTAGGTGGTTGATAGGGAAAAACATGCTCATTGAAACGAGCATGTCTGGCTATGTATATCCGTTCAGTGGAAGGATCAAGGCACCGGTAACCATGGTGAACAGGACTGTAGCCAAGGAAGACACACGGAGTGGAGCGAAAATCAATCTTGTGATGGTTATACGGACGAAGATAGGGAAAACATTGACATCCAAAGACTCGAAGAAAGGGGTAATCAGGTTTGCGTTTGAAAACGTGTTCATAGGGAGATTTGTTGGAGGAGACACGAGAGGGGAGTCGATTTATTAAGTATACGGCGGTTTGAAAAGCAAAATGCCAGAAGCGTTGAGGAAGACTGGATTGGACTAGGAGTGTGAGTCCAGTTTCGACAACATGACGATGACGACGTTCTACAATGCCATTTTGTTCGCTTGTATGGGGACAAGAACGGCGATGAATTATGCCAAGGTTGTGGCAGAAGGTAGTTAGAGGTCGAAACTCTCCCCCCCAATCGGACTGAATACACTTTAACTTGGTGTTAAATTGGCRTTCARCCATTTTAATAAAGTTTGTTAAGACTGTATAAACATCAGATTTCTGAATTAAAGRGTAAAACCACATATATCTAGAGTGATGATCAACACATAACAAAAAGAAACGATGACCATCGAAGGATGGTGTATGTGAATGGCCCCAAACATCACAATAAACAAGATCCAAAAAATTATTGCTATGAAAATTTGAATCGGATAAAGATAGTTTTGAGGATTTTCCTAGTTGACAAGCAGAACACAAGTTATTTGATAATTTGTCCAAAACAGGTAAAGAACAATGAGAAATAATTGAACGAAAAACTTGAGCATGAGGATAACCCAAGCGTTGATGCCAAATGTTCGAGGAGGCTTTGACAGCAGTAAATGCAACTTTAGGTAAAGACTTGAGTGTAGGAAGACGGATGGAGTACAGTCCTTGTTCACTGGGGCCCGTTAGGAGGATAGTGCGTGTAGACTCGTCCTTCACAACAAAATAAGATGAGTGAAATTCAAAGAAAACATGATTATCGACACAAAATTTTTGAACGGATAAAAGGTTTTGTTTTAGTTCAGGGACATGAAGTATATTGCATAATTTAAAGGTTTTGTTAGGGGAGTAAAGTTTTGAGGAGCCAATGTGAAAGATGGGTGTAGAGTTACCGTTACCAACATGTAAAGAATCGTTACCAAAGTAGGCCTCGGAGTTGTCAAGGCTAGATAGATCTGGAGTGGCATGGTGATTTGCGCCAGTGTCGGGCTTCCAAGTAGATCCTGATTGCGAACCAGCATCGGAGTAAGTAGCATAGTTGGCCTGTGGCGCTGYACGGGATTGGTTAGGCTGGTTAGGACACYGAGAGGGTAGGTGACCAATTCCACARCGATTACAATGACCATACACCATGTTTTGAGTAGAAGCCCAAGAGAATTGACGTGTGCCATTAYTATCACGATTACGAGAGTTGAAAGCARGTCGTGAGTTACCACGTGRAGATCCACGAGAAMCGCGACCACCACGGTTGTTATTGAAAGACCGGGATCCAAAATAAGCYTGTGGTCGTGATGAAGTTGYAGGGTTCAGTTGATATCCCAATTGGGAAGCCATGAGTTGAAGATTATGAAGTTGTTGTTGAACGGAGTCGAAATTGGGCTGCTGTAGTGGTGTAGAGGCAGCCGTAAGAGGCTGCTGAGCAGAAGAGGCAATCGCAAAGAGAGCCTGGGGAACTTGCGGATTTGTTGCCAAGATCCTTGTAATCATATAATCATGGTCACTTAATAAACCATGCAATTCATTGAAGTTGACAGGAGGGGAGCGAGCCAAGAGGTTTGCTTTGAGACCATTGTATTCTTCACGAAGCCCTGCTAGGGTTAGCATAACCAGATCTTTGTCTTTCATTGGTTCGACTATATTGGCTAGAGCAGTTGCATATTCTTGTGCTCTACTGAGGTATTCGGCAGGTTTTTCATCACCCTTCATGGTGATTCGAAGTAATTGATTTTTAAGAGTAAATTCATGGGATGAAGTAACCGGAGCATACGCTCATTCTAAAGACAGCCATATCTCTCGAGATGTTTTGCTCTGAATATGTTGAAAGGACTCTTCTGACACAGTAGAGATGATGAGCATACGGATGTGAGCGTCGTTGGAGACCCATGGTTGGTAGCTTGGATTGTCAGTTGTAGCAGATCCGTTTGTAACCTTCGATTCTGGACAGGGAATAGTGCCATCAATGTAGCCAAAAAGATTGTGAGAGGTAAGAAAAGATGCGACCATTGATCGCCAATAGCCATAGTTCGTGGGTTTTAGGGTGAAGGCAAACTTGTGAGAATTATGGGTTGTTTTCTCTTGATTGGTGAGAGTTATGATTGCGGCCATAGTAGCTTGAAAGAGGTGACGGCTGGAAGAATGCTGCTGGAGGTTTGTGACAGTTGGAGGAGTTGCCGGGGGTTGCGTCGGCTGTCTGAAGGTCGTCGGAGGTTGGGAATGGTGCCGCCGGAAGTTACGTCGGTCAGGCTGGAGGTTTTGTCGGCTGAATTGAAGCCAGAAAAAGAAGGGATTTGATTGGCTCTGATACCAAATCAAACCTTGAATTTATTGATTTTATTGTATATTTAAAAGACAGAATACGTGTCCTATATAGGACAGATAATTACACTTTAATACCCTAAGCAGTTACACTTTAATACCCTCAACAATAAGGTTATTTAACTTAGTCTAACAGCTTCTTAAAGGCCTAGCGCCACTTCTGAGTTTATTATTTCAGAAGTGACTTGAGCACGCTTTTGTTGTCAAGAATCAGTATTGAAATTTGCATGGTCAAATGTATACATATCAAAGCTTCAAATTTCAGATTTGCTGTTATTCAAGTTGTAAAGATCATCAAGCATCCAGATAGGCAATAAGGTCAAGCTTTGTGGTATGTTTTGACTTTTGAGTCAAGGCATAAGCAAACTAAATTGGGTTGAAAGTGCAAGGGCTTGGTCAAAACAGTTGAGCTATTTGTGAATGTATGCGAAGGGTCCATATGATATACACTCCCCATCATCCATGTCCTCTTCCACTATCTCTATTTACAAAAAAGTTGTGAATATACAGGCAGTATAGTGGAAAAAAGGAAATTTGGAATAGAAAATAAGTCCAATGGCCTTAAAAGAACATCACTTTATCTAGACAACAAAAACCCTAGTAACTTGATGAACAAGAAAACCAATTAGAGACTATAATTTCGAACCAAATGATAATAGTTCCACTATATATCATATTCCCGGTTGTTGATTAAAAAAACCATGATTACGTCAAAGAGGGAAAGCTTCTTGAGGATCCTACTTTATATCAGAAGTTGGTTAGGGGGCTAATCTATATAACAATCACTCGACCAGATATTTCTTATGTTCTTCACACAGTAAGCAAATTCATGGACTCACCTTGGCAGTTCCATCTATTTGTAGTCAAATACATCACATGTTGCATCCTTGGTACACCTGATCGTGGCCATTTCTTCCATATAGAATACATTCTCAAGGTTATCTCATATGCATGCCATGCATATTTGTATCCTTTAAGCATCTTATATGTATATCGGGTACAAAATGGAGTATCCACTTCACATATAACTTTTCAATGCCACAATCACAATGCATGCATATACAATAACAAAACATACTTTTCTGTGTGGCCATAATTCAAACAACATTAAAGTTACTAAGAGAAAATACATTTTCCATGAAAACTCAGAAACATAAACGCCTAAAGTGTGTCTTATATACATATGACATCTAAAGATGATGCAAGTATCAATATCAACCAACGTGAAAAGCTCATTCCTAAATGGCAAGTATTCATTTCTAGAGCAATTAATGCTTGGATAATGATAAAAGTAAATATGCAAAACAAATTATATCAAATAATTTCCCTAAAAGTTGATGATTTTGATGTACACTTCACTTTCCTATGCCAATTTACAATCATTTTATAACATAGATACTTTAGTAAGCATTTTGAAAAGTACTTCAAAGTTTCGATATTGAAGAATAATTGAATCACACAAATGAATAATAACCATGAACATTGGAAAACCTAAATGGTGAAGCAGAAATTATACAACTATAACAGCCATAAACTTGTTGATGGAAAATTTAAGCTAATAAGAGTATCATGTTGTCAAACACAAACCTGCTGCCCAAATGTGTAGTTTGGGATTAGTGATCCACCCCATGAATCGAATCGGTAGACTTCCAAATAATTTCTCTGCACAATATGTCAACATGCCCACCGTTGAGAATTTTACTACACGAAAAGTTAAACGTCGAGAAATTCCACATGAACATAAAACAATAGCCTCAGATTAAGTAACTGAAAGATACAAAACCCAGGCACTGATACAGGGGAGCATCAACTACACATATATACTAAAAGACATATTGGGGTAGAAAAATGGCACTTATGAGGATAATTAGTACAGACTATAAACAAAAACCACCTGTGAGACCTTGTTTGATTCTTTATTTTCATAACTCTGAAGTTTCGTTTGCGCTCTATAAATTTCGAAACCCATGCAGTACAGAAAACTAAAAAAAGGAAGGAAGAAAACTAATGCAACTTAAAAGGAAGTTCTTTGCCTAGCTTCCTGATTCAAATTGGTTACGTAATCTTTTTTAGGAAAACATTCATACATGTTTAAAGGCACAGATGATGCAGCAGACCTGGGAATTGAGAAATTTGGTGAACAAATCAAACCTGAAGAGATTGCTGTTATACGGAAGAACTCTACTTTAGAGCAGAATTAATTTTAATTGTTTCAGTTTCTTGTATAATGTTTTGATTGTGGACATATGAACTGTTAAATCACTGAAAACAGGTTGCTTTATTTGTGAAGTCCTAATTTCTTATTATTAAAGATATGTTCATCAGGTAATGTTGTGACATAATTTCTTTTCATCAAAGAAATTAACAAATCAAAATATGTAGGCAATGAGTGTATGTTGTTTTAAATTGAACAATAGAATTCAAAGGGCAAAAGAGGAAACTCACAGCAACTATCGTCCTGCCTAATGCTGAAAACATCTCACCCGCAATGTCAATTTCAACTGTAGTTTCAGCTCCAACAGCCGGTTGAGAAACACATGCCAAATAATGACGAACAACCAGCTCATACAACTTCTGTAGCAAACTTCTGTTAATTTCTCATGGGTAAACTGTTCACTTCTAATAAAATATTGCAAACTATCTAATGATAGGGAAAATAATGCCGGTATTCCACTACCATAAACTTACACGATGATCCTCACTCCATCCAGATTGTCCAGGCGAAAACTTTGTTGGGTGAATGGGAGGATGGGCTTTGTCATCATGACCACCGCCACTTGGGTTCCTCCAGAGTCCTGAAGAAGGATCCAAGAGTCGCTGGGCATATGGGCCCCACACAGGATGCTCCTGTTGCTCTTGTACAAGTATCTAAAACCATCCAAAACAAAATCACCACCCAAAAAAAGGTAACAAAATAACAAGTATAAAGTTCGTAATTTCCATTTAAAGGGGTGGAACATGCATGTAACAGTTAGTTAAGATTTCAACCTTACGCAAATGACGAAACAAATATACTTCATTCTGAAAATATGTGGCCTCATTAAGAAATCAAATTGACATGCTAATTAAGAAATCAAATTGACCAAGCAAATAACAAGTCGAGGATTTATCTAACAAATACGCCATTCTATATCATCAAACAAAAAGGCTTTTGAACCTTCAATCCATTTATGTCTATCGACCACCCATTCAAATTCCCAATCCCACCCTCAAGAGATATTTACAAGGTAGGGTCTTTAAAACAAACAAAGGTATCTTAATAGGTGTAAGTTGATCACTCCCTAGTTTTGGAAGGAAAGATTTATTATAGGATATCCAACAAGGAGCAAAAGATACTTATCTTCTGACAGAAGGAGCGCATGTCAATATACTAATAAGCAAACTACAAAAAGAGGTTAATTTACTGAACCCAACGAAACTGAAATAATGAGAGAGAAGTCGTATTAGAAATATAATTAGAAACACAAACGAAGCAATACAGTCTTTAGTCATTCCTGTTTTACCTTCAGAACGAAGATAAGATACCACTTTTTAAAACATAAAGAAATAGTAAAATTAACAAAAAAACAAAGCAAGAGCACCATCCGTAGTTACAAACAAAATTAACTAGGAAAGTATGCTCAAGCATAACATATGAGGAACTTAAAGAGAATATCAAATAAATACCGCTCATTCGCTCTATTAAGTAGAATAATATGGTAAACAGAAGAAATAACAGTGATGATAATAATTGTAAGCAAAACCAAAATGACAATTCAATATTTATAGAAATAATAAGTTTGCCAAAGGTAAGAACCAACAAGAGGGTATATTTGGAGTTGATACCTACTTGGTGACATCAAATAAAAAATTATGAATGACTCAGTAAATAAAGAAACAAGACAACATTATTCTTTTGGCTATTCTAATTTCTATCAAAGTGATAGATGTCCATGCACCTCAAAATGTACTTGACAGTGATATCAGTGTTCTAAGGTTTCTGATGCTATAAGCTACATAAGAATCTTCCATCTTGCATATTCTTCATGACTCAATCTTGCATCTTTCACCCATTCACTCTACTTTTTGTTCGCTCAGCCTGAACAAGACACGGTTAGTTTTTCTTGATTTCTTTCTCATTTGTTCTTTAAGGCCATGTGTCTTTCTTATCATTCATCTTGTTAGTGATATAGAGCACTTAATACTAGACAACTAAAACTGCGATTAGTAAAAGTAAAAGTTAATAGAAAATGTTAAGTTCAATGGGTACCAAAAGATTAGTTATGAGACTGATAGAACAAACAATATAGCGAATGAAGCATGGTTTTTATACAAGAGGAGGGTACCCACATGCAAGTCGGTCCTTGCTGAAAAGGAATCAGTCTCTGTACGTGGATAGCTTATGAAACCAGACTGATAAAGGTCTTCTGCAATCTACATAAAAATTTAGCAGTCAAAACTGAGCAATGGATGGAAAACTGAGCACACAAAAAATAAGAAGAAAAACCTTCCACGTGTTTGTGTTAGAAGATGATGTTAAAGAATTGAGATCTCCATAATATTTCTACGAGGGCGCTATTAAGTGACTTCCTACCATGATTTTGCAGATTTCCGTTGGCCTACTTTGAGGCTTGGCACATTGCTAATGGGATAAAAGCAATCACCTCACAGGACATGGTGAAAATAATTACGTAAGTTTTCATCAGACTTGGAGATCAAGAGTTAAAAGCCGGGGAGGTTGTGGCACCCACTACAAACTGTTCGGTGTTGGAAAATTTTGAGCTATAAACAAGTCCTTCACAATGACCCTTTCTTCCCACCATATGTTTCGAGTACTTGGGTGGCTATTTAGAACAACCTGTCATTTGGGCTAGAAAAGTTCTATAAAAGATGTCCATAAATCATCCATAAACCTTAAAGATGGTGATGCAAGAGCAGAGACTTTAATGTACCCTGTGGAGTACTACAACATAAATTACGGAGCAATGGCATGAAAGAACTGCTAACTGATCAGATTAATTAACCTGGAATACATTAAGAAGCTTTAGATATCGTGACGGCTAGACTTGATGACAAAAGTAAATGACACCGGCTCAAAACATGAACTTTAACAAGCATTACAGAAACAGCACCGATGGGCTGACAGACAGAAGGTTAATAAGATTCTAGGGACCCTGGGTGTAATTGTAAAGCTTGAAAAATAATAGTTGGAGATCTAAATCATGAATCTTCCTTAACAAAGCCACAGTAGCACAGTTACGTGCAGAAAACTTGCAGATTCAAACTTTCCTTTGACTTTAGCACTTGAATAATATCAATAGAGAAAAACTGAAAAAGCACAATATTTTAAAGCATTTGTAATGTTTGAAAAGTAGAATATCCTGATAGAAATTTGACAAGACCGTGAGGCTTTATTTCAACAAAAACAAACGGTGAAGTACAATTTAACTTTTTTTCCTCAAAGAAATTCATGGAATATTTGAACATATTGAGTAGCCTTGCTAAAAAAAGAAACTAACCTTCATGGTTTGTTCGGAACTCATCCTGAAATAACGTGATGCTCGTTTCTCTAGCTCAATAGTGTTTAAAGGGTGTGGAGGATATTTCAGTCTTTCCTGCTGTCTTACTTTTGTCACCTGAACATGAATAAAACTATTGATGTAACTGGTTGTAACTTGATTTTGGTTGCTCCTAGGAACTCAAGATAGATTCAGATAGCATGATGGCCTTATCACTTACGGTCGCAACAGGTTCTTGGACACACATCTCATAAAGTAATACTGCACAGGTGTAATCAAACAGATGCCCACGTCTGCAATTTAGAAACTAAATGAGTTAAATCACCAACCAACAAATTCAAAAGAAAACACAAACAGGTGACGATAGTACAAAGTTTACATCCAATTAAAGGTAGCAGTGCCTTCATCAGTTGTGTGAGAACACTGGATCTTCCAAAATTCTTCAGGTTCATGTGCTTGTATCTCCCAATATCGTTCCACAACAAATCCCAGTGTGGGAAACTGCAAGGAACGATAATCACAGAGATATAACTATTTAGCTCCTAACAATGAAATGCGCACCAGGCTTCTATGAACTTCTTTTATGAAATATCCTTATACCTGACAAGGACCATAGCTTAGAACAAGGTTTCTGCCATCTGTAGAAAAATTAAAAACAAATGCATCTTTCAGTAGCATGGTCTGAAACCTCGTGAAGGAAGCACCAATTCGGAGATCTATTTCCTGCACATGGCTCCAAATTAGTCCAATAATCTAACTAGTATCAAGAACAGGAAGCAGAAAGTGAGGTTTTAAGAGGGATAAGAGACAGACAGAGATCAATTAAATGGGCAGGCTTCATGCAAAACCTGTTATGAACAGATGCAAATTCTTGCTGAAAGTAATGTGTCTTAAAGTCCAACAGTGTAGTACCAACATATGTAAGAGACAAGAATATTCACATTGGTAACAAGTGGAAAAGATTTTACTAACAACAATAAGCCCCATTAGAATATTTATGGATTCAAACAGATATTTCAGCAGTACTCACTTGTCTAACATCTACAGCATCGGAAAACAATTGATTAGGCCGTACAAGCTGCTGGGCAGCTTGGTGGATTTCCCTGGCCCAACAAAAATTAGGATTTGTAAATTATTTGACCTTAAAGAGACAAATAAAACTATGTGAGCAATGGAAATGTGAGCATCAGACCTTTCGATTAATGAAGAGAAACGAGCTCTCCAAATATTGAGACGAGAATTCACATTCGAGCAAACTTCCACAACTTCAAATGCAATGTTCTCTCCTTCTCGATCACAATCAAGCCACAAGACAAGCCACTGGCATTTTCTGGCTTCCTCCTCCAAGGTCTTTCTGATGTCTAACTTGTCCTTTATTACATGCAAGAAGATAAATGATTTCAGAGACATATAAACACTGAACAAGGAAATAAAAAAAAGGAAACAACAATAAGGAGAAACATCACCCAAAAGATGCATGATATATTAACCGGTCCCCCTAACATGGTCCAACAACATTGTTAGAACTCTTAAGTTAATCCTAGTAAGACTGGAGGAGTAACATCCTAACTTCACATCGCACTAAAGAAGGTAAAATTTTGTTTGCTGGAAACTGAATTCTAAATTGAAGCTGTGATTTTATTCATTAGAGGTCATATTTAAAAATAAGAGGCTTGAGAGCTACATTGTGATTTTTTATGGCAAACCAAGTATCTTTGTGCAAAAATGATACGTTTTTCAAAAGTTTAACACCAATGTCATTCAATGTGTAGTGTTCGTTATAAATTTTAAAGTAGTTAGCATTTTCCCTCATGCGTTTGAAATCTGTACAAATCCATAATTGCAAAGCAACTCATTTGACATACAAAGCCAAACATAGCTCATTCACATTTTGGGGCTTGTAGAACACACAATTCTTCATCAATAGCATTTGCTTCCCTCTTCCACTACATCAACAGATTATTACATAAATCATGTCCAGAAGAAGTAGCATGATTAACATGATGGGGTTGGGTTCTGGTGAGAATGAAAGTTATGGTAGGGTAAGAAGGGATCTCCACCCTTGGATCAATCCTAATTGAAGAGAACCACTAGATCAACACTGATGAGATACACTAGACCAATTCCCTTCTAAACCGCAATTCATGGGTTGTTTTGGGATATGGGTTGTTTTGGGATTAAAAGTGATCAAGGGTCCAAATCCCTTTTTACACTTCTCACCTTAAGTCTTATTCTCACATGATCTTTCGTCTAACATGATGATAGGTTTAGCATTACTAAAAATGTATTCACATTTTTCAAACTTATATGAGTTAAGTTAGCTAATAGAAGCAAACTCTTTAGGATATGGTTCCTACTTCCTATTGGTGTGTTTATTTAAATTAGTGTAGTAGTTTTCTTCAAACTTTCCAACAGATTATTGATAAGTGATAACTCAATCAACCCCAAAACAATGTATAACTCATAAGCAGTCCCTAACATCCTGATATTGAAAATTTTAACTGCACCTAACCATTCAGCAACTGCCAAAACGGCCCCTTAGACATTGTAATTGCCAAACAGCTTACTAAAAGGGTTGGTATAATATCAATTTTGTATTTAATTATCAAACATATTTTTGGAGAACACAGGGAAAAAGTATAGAATCCACAAAACATTTAACTTGCAAAGAGAAATTACCCCTTTGAACTTTCGAGGTCAAAAAGTAGGTCTTGTTATGGAAGAAAAAGGGTGTCAAAAGGATGATCATAATAACAACATGTGCTAACCTCGGGGACATGTTTCTGAATAGGTGCTTGGAAAAGATCAACGGGGTCGCAAGCGTGCCACTTCCGATAGCGGCCTTCGAATTCTATCTCCATGAGATGTCCGGTGACGGAAGTGAACAGCATTTGACAAGGCTGCCCTTGAATCGTGTAATTGAACTCGAACACTTTGTTGTACCTTGACCTCCCCTCTCGCATTCTCAACCCCTGGTTTCTCGACAATATTCCTGATACCGTCTTTGCCACCGAAGGCTTCTCCGCCACATTCAGCACCCTGATTGCTCTCCCTCCGCCCCCGCCTCCCGCCATTTCTCGTCGGAAGTTGAAATCCGACCACTTACGGACCCCTTTTCAAACCCTTTCGGAGGGTTTTAGTCTTTTAGACCCAAAGAGACTCTTTTCCCGCCAACGCGTGGCTGCCTGTGGTTGACTTCTTTTGGAGAACTAACCTTGACTTATTTGAGAACTAAACGATAAAAATTTTATAAAAATTATTTGTAAAATTATATGTCGTAATCCTTTATTTTTTTTCAGAACCATAAACAACTTGAGTAGCTAAGTATTTTTATGTATTATTACTTGTTCAAATATTAATCTCAGTATAATTTGATATTTTTAAGCTGTCACGTTGTTGTTCATAAACATTATTTATTTATAATAATTAAATTAACATTATAGATGCTTTTTAGACATATTACAATGATATTACTAAAATTACATTCATTATGTTAAAATTGTTAGAAATATAATTGCAATGAATAAATATATTTATTCGTTCACAAACGTCCTTTATTCCATATTTGTTTTTCAAGTTTGCAAAATCTATTTATATTTGTTCCACCAACTAACGACCATTACATTATTCTTGTTAACTCTAATTAAATAAAGGACATTTAAAATATTATATCATTAATGTTTTTTAGTTATTTTTTTGTCGAATTTTCATCTTCTCAGAATTAACTCATCAAAACCATTTGAATGAAAATCAAGAATATAAATAGCAAACTCAATCAAAAAAATTATAATATAATACTTATATAAACTCTAAAAAGGATAGAATCAAACATAAAAAACCTCTTTTCGCTCATTAAAATGTCAACCCCTTTAAGACTTTAAGTGAGAGAAATATAAGCAAATTCATATAGATGATGGATATCATGGATCACTTTTTTTGTTAAAATGTTTGATAATATGAAATAAAGATGTCAAAAAGAGTTTAAGGGGTTGTTTACTCAAATTTTTATCCGATAAGTGCTTACTTATAAGAGTCAACACTATAATTTATTTTGATAAGTAAGATTTTAGTACATCAAAACGTATTGAATGCAACAATTTACTGGATAAGCGCTTACCTGAGTAAGAGTCATAATATTCACTTACCGGGTAAGACTCTTCATCATTCTCATCGCTTTTACCCGGTAAGATTATTGACCCTTGTCATGTTTATCCGATCTAGAAATTTATTTGATAAGCATTTACCAAGTAAGTGTTTAGTAAACGGCCCCTAAGTCTTATTCTTCTATTTGCGTAATCAAATATTTAGGGTAGTCTTCTTCATCACATATCTTCATGATTCAATGTTGATGTCATTAATGTATAGTGCATGCGGAATACCTTAAAAACTTACATTTAGAGAAAGAATATAAATGCTAGAGGTTTGTAAGAATATAATACTAACACTCTCAACTAATCCAACAAATAATGTTTACATAAAAATTATTTACTTACCGAATACTGAAACTATTGGCATGCATAAGCGAACTAAAATAGTTCTTTTTGCATTTATGAAACATGATCCAATAGAAAAGTTGGCGTTGATGTAGACCCATTTGATATGTTAGACCATTCAAGGAGAACGGGTTTTCGAATATTGGTTGGCCTCAAGTAACAATCGTGACAGAGACTTTCATTTGAAGATACTGACTTAACCTATATTGCAAGATGTATGTAAAAAATTTACATATAAGAGAGAAGAAAACCATAATTTAATATAAGAGAAAGCTACAAAGGTTGTTGGCATATGGAAAGTTGGGGTTATCCTAAAGTGTAAGATATATTTAGGAGTTGAGGGTTCAAGATGCATGTAAATTTATTTAAAAAAAAACTTGTGCATAATGAAGCACACATTTATATATAGGGACGACGTTATCTTTTTCATATATTAGACATATTTTAAAAATCAAAAAATGAAGAAAAAAGAGAAATAAATATTCTAATATTTATTTTCATATAAACGAAAAGCAGGTCATTTGGGTTCAAGCCATTCGAAAAATAAGTGATTATTGCAAAGAAATCTAGATTGAAAGAACAAGTATTTTTGTGATTACTTGGTACCTGCTGGATTAATGTTCACCGGAGGCCGGAGATTGGAGGTCGGAGAGATGAGAGATGAGAGATGAGAGATGAGAGAGGAGAGAGGAGAGAGAAGAGAGGAGTTTTTTTTTAAAAAAATACCTAATATGCCCTCTAATTATAATTTTAACTCAAACTACCATAATTATTAATTTTCCAATTTATCCGTTGATTTGTGGTTGAAATTAGATTTCACAGTTACCACAAACTAATCAGTTTATATATATATATATTAATACATACTAGCAATGTAACCGTGCAATGCACCGGGTAAGCAAAATTGAAATGGGCAAGAATCACCAGAAGACTATAAAATAATGACAAACTAGTTCTTCCATTTTAATTTTGAAATTCAAACAAGAAATAAAAGAGGAAGGTAAATGGTATTGAGGCAGAGCATCGATAGAGTTAGATCAAAAAGATGAAAGCAACCAGAAATTTTAGTCTCTTGTGAAGACAAAAAAGGTCAAAAGCTTTTAAGGAATTCAAAACATGCATACAATACTTGTATATTGTGTTTCAGTTGGTATTTATGTATAAAAACGGATGTTGAAGAAAAGAAAAGAAAGTTTTATAGGAAGAAAAGAAAATAAAGCTTATACCAAGCGAGAGCGGTTGAGACTGTTGTACAGGCCCGTTCCTGACATTTTTTAGGCTCTGGGCGAACGTAAAAACAGGGCCCACGACAAGAAACAAGGCTTTTAGTAACGACAACGACTTTTGTCGTCGCTAAAGTCCATTTATCATTAGAAAAAGTATATAACAACATGTCGTCGCTATAACTTGTGGCGGAAACATGTCGCTAAAAAGTGAATCGTCAATGCTCACTTTTTTTGTAGTGACCCTCGGTAAGTACGAAAAAAAATTCAATAAATGTTTTCCATTAGTATATAAAATTGAGTACAATAAATGTTAATAATTTACCGAAGAAAGAAATCTTATTTATCTTTATCATATATATATATATATATATATATATATATAAGAGTACTTAAATTTACATACTTCTTATTAGGTAATTTGAAACCAAAAGTATAGAAACTATGTTGATAATTTTTTATAAAAAGTAAGAATTTTTTAGTTTATAACAAGAAATATGTGTTATTTTGATTCAAAAAGAGAATTCGTGTGAATGAGGTAATCGTGAGGGTCAATGAGAAATCAATAATAAAGAAGATTATCAAGATTTTCTAGACAAGTAGGCAAATGAGGATCAATAAGAATATGAAAGAAAAATGATTCATTGAGATTCAATAAGAATAAATAATTAATTAAACATATAATATGTAAGCTCAACAAAAGATTGTTTGAGCACTTAAATACAAGCTTGTTGTGTGGTGGAATCTCAATGAAAGATACATAAGTCAAACAGTTGATGAAAATATTTAAATTTTATTTTCCTTCTTTTTTTGCTCAACCAAAATAAGATGTTAAGATTAAAAGTTTATGAAACATGACATTATAAGAGACATTAGTAGAAATAAATTATTTATTAATCATAAAACCATGAAACATATCATAAACTATAAGAACAATAAATTGATTGTCAAACAATAATAAAATATTTTATGTAGAAACAAAAATAGATAACAATAGTCAACAAAAACAATTAGAACAACATAACCAAATAGCAATAGTCAATAGRAACAGAAATTGATAAAAATATATAGCAATAACAAACACATAATCTTAACGTTGAATAGTTAAAGCACGAAAACGGTCAAACATATAGAGATAGCAATAGCCAATATCATTAGACATTTTTTGAGATAAAAAAAATTAGAGAGTCAATAATAAACAATAACATATAATGAATGACAATTTTTTTTTTATTTTCTTCTCCAATGTAATTAGTTGATATATTTTTTGACACTTATTATCTACTAATTCTTTTTGCCCCTTATTGTATACTATAATTTTTTGGGTTTTTTTAATTTATTAAATTATTTTAGACTACTATTGTATTTAAAAGAAAATTTTTGGGCCCCTGATATTTTTGGGCCCTGGGCGTGCGCCCGTGTCGCCCTCCCCCAGGGACGGCCCTGCTGTTGTAGAAGAAAAGGGAGTCTAGGACTCTATTTTTGGTTGTGGTGAAAAAGCAATGTATTAATAAGTTGTACATCATGCATACAACCTTGTAATTAAGAGATTTTTTTTTATTTTGTGCTTTAAAAGCTTGTATTCAATGCATCAAAATTTATACTTAAGATTTTGGTTTTAATGTTTATTAATGTAGTTGGAGGCTTGGAACTCTTGGTTTGAACCTAGTGTGGGTTGTTTGTTTACCTCTTAATAGTTTCATTAAGAGGCAACATCTGAATCATTGGGTGAATCTTCTTTGGCAAAAAAATATATATATGTCTCTTAATGATTTTAAAATCTTGTGAATGATTTTGTATCCTAAGCTTCTCTTAACCATTCAGCGTTATAATTTAATTATAAATAATTATATTTTATTTTGCACTATATTATGAAAGTCTTTTAATCATTCTGTATCAAACCATCCAGACATTTGACACCTACAACCATTTTTGCTATTTAACTGCATTTAAAATTTTCTTTTAAAAAACTAGATTTAAATATTATTATTATTTCAGTGAATGAGTTTTGTGCTTCAAACCAGTAGACTAATTTCATTTTATTTTTTTATGAAAACAACATAAATTTAATATTATTATTTATTTTAAATTTCAGAGATATCTTTAGACTTGATAAAATACAAATTTAACCCGATTTTAATTAGATGAACTTGTGAAATTACCAAAATGTTCATATTGTTAAGGAATCAGTATTCTAAGTATTTTACAACATAAATGATCTAAATTTAAGAACTGTATTTTTGTTATTTTAACTCTAAGAGGGTGATTATAACAAATTATCTATGTCTTAAAAGAATGTTGTATATTAAAGCATTTAATAAATTAAATGATCTAGTAATAAAATTAAAGTGTCGTCTTTGAGTTTAATAGATATTGGGACGCTTTAATTCCGAATGGATATATTATATCGTTATAAAATGATTACTTTGATGTTTTGGGATGTCATCGAGTTTTAGACCCGGGATTTGACTAAAATTAGTCAAGGTTGACCGAGTTGATGAAATGTTGACTTTTACCTCGTTTAACCATAAGAATTTAATGGAGATTTTATATAATTATGAACGGATTGTTTTGACGTTTTAGAACATCATCAAGTTATACACTTGGAATTTGACTAAAGTTGACCGAGGTTAACCGAGTTGACAAAATGTTGACTTTGACTCGTTTGATCCACATGGATTTTAGTGATGGGGTAAAATTAATTTATTTGATGTATATTAGTATGCTTGGATAAGGAGTTTGACTTTAGGTCGGCTCGGGTTGACCAGTTTTGACTCTTAGAGAAATTAAGTCATTAATTGGATATGGTGGTTTCAAATGTGTAGGTTTTTGGATCATAGTTGTCAGTAGTTAATCTTCACGCAATCAAGTGAGTCTTCATAAGACTTACAATAGAATGCATACATATGTACAACATCATTTTATCATGCTATTTTTTTGTGGTGGTGAATGTTATGCATGATACTAGTTTTAATACATGATATCAGTTGTATGTTTACATATATGCTTTTTATGGAGCAGTGTTTTCCGGTTTTTAAACATTTATAGCATGCTTAAAGCTTTCAGTTGGTTTAGATTGTACAAGTGGTACACATTTTGGAGTATGGGATGTCATCTTGGTTTGCCACACTTGAGGGAAGGCACGACACCGAAATGAGTAACTGGCTAAGTGTACACACCAGGGAATGCATGTGACATGGCAGCACGACCCCGTAATAAGTTACTGGCTATAGGTGAGTCGTATACTCCCAACGAATCGTTGTAACTTATCAATCCCTACTCGAGTCGGTTATGAGATATTTTTTATTTTAAGTGTTGCATGTTACAACATAAAAAAGTTTTATGATCATTTTGATAGGTGGGCATTGACCAATAAGCTACACATCAAGTGGCACGACTCGTAATGGGTGCTCAGACATGTGCAGGTCGAACAAAATAGGGAATGTCAATGACAAAATAACCACAAGAGTTCAAATAGTTTATGAGATCTCTTTTCTTTCGTGTTGCATATTTTCAGAAAATGCATATTTGGTGCGGAGTTTACAAGTTCATACATGTTTATTCACGCAAACTATGAACTCACTGAGTTTTATATGCCGACTATAGTATGCATCTCAGGACCCAAAACTTCGAATTTGAATAAGGGAAACATGCACACTTAAAGGACTTGCTTACTTATTTAAATCCAATATTTATGTTGAGATATCTATGATGAATAAATTTTGTAAAACAACCGCATATGGGACGAGTTAGCAATTAAGTTGCATATGTTTACGTAAAAGCTTTTACAGTGTTAATTGCACACTTGGGCACGTACTCGGAATGTCAATGAAATTATAACACAAAACCACGATTTACACATACGACAGGATAGTCTCCTCACTACTATTCAGTGAACTTATGGTTTGACCAAACTCAGTGGGTCCAATCTTATCGACACAATAACGTTTTTCCGAATGACTCTTGTACGATTGTATTTCAAATATTTATCAACGGTTTACATCTCTTATAACGTGGAAGCACATGATGATCATCGCACGAAACACGTCTTACTCAGTTCTAGACTTACAATGGTCATTCAGGTGTCAAATGAACGGAATAAGCGTCTAGATGTTAACAGAATCGTGGACAGAAGCTTCAAATACAAGTTAAATGTTAATTAAGAGGCATTACTCTAATAACTTTGGCAGTGTGCTGTTTATTACTAGCACTTTAGCTTGGTACCTGTACCCCCAGGTGTAAATTGGTACGTTAAGTAAATTCTAATTAAATACATAATATTTTTATATTTAAATAAATCAAAGTTAATTTTGATCCTTAAAGTTTAATGAAAAGTTCAAAAACAGGACTCAACTTTCGATAAATTCAAAAATCATCCTTATAGTTTGCATCTTGTTTTGAAAATAGTACATAATCACTAACTTCGTTAAAAGTTGTCCGTTAAACGAGAAATTTTTTAGGGTTGTTTGACAATTGCTGAATGGTTTGGTGTAAAATGATTAAGTGATCAGAATGATTACGAGGCTCTCATGATATATGCAAAATGAAATATAATTGCTTGGTAATTGTTTACAACAAAACTAGGGCGCTGAATGGTTAAGGGAGGCCTATGATACAAAATCATTCAGAGGGTTTTAGAACCATTAAGAGACAAAAAAAAAATCGCCAAATAAGATTCGCCTCTTAACGATTCAGAGACTGCCCCTTAATGGAACCATTAAGAGGCAGCCTCTGAAACGTTAAGAAATGAATATTGTTTGGCAAAAAAAACGTCCGTCTTTTAATGGTTCTAAAATTCTCTAAATGATTTTGCATCCTGAGCCTCCCTTAACCATTCAGCGCCCTAATTTTATTGTAAACAATTACCAAATAATTATATTTCATTTTGCACTATATCATAAAAGTCTCTTAATCATTCTGCACGAAATCATTTAGCAACTATCAAAGAACCCCTTGGTCTTTCTAAACTTTCTACTAAACTTGAAGGATAAAAAGTGAAGTTTAGTACATTTTATAAAAGGACCAATTATTGGGTGGAAATAGATAGAAAAGTCAAAGTGTAAGCAGCTGTGGTTTCTCCTTCCTCACCGGCGAGTCTGCAGATCCAAGCCTCCCACCACACTCATATGTTTCCATATATAAAATCAACAACTGGATTAATTAATTATTTAGTATTATTATTAATTGCAATAAAAGAGTACGAATATATATTTTCAATGGCCTTTGCAATTAAAACTCAATTATTTTGTATTAAAATATATTATCTTAATCATTTTGATTACTTAATTATTTTGTATTAAATTATTCAACAACTGTCAAACAGTTCTTAACTAATTACAAATATCGAAAAGATAGATATGTATTAAATGAAAAGTATGGTTTTTCTTGAAATAACATCCAAAATAATTGATTCTTGTAAACGTTAGAGATAATAAATTTTATAACATTAAAAAAATCAAACATAACTATTTAAATGATTGGTGTCATGGGAGTTCGTGAATTTGCATGTGAGTTCCATGCCGACTTCCATATATCCAAGTCTCCTTCCCACGTGTTCTCTACCCCATCTTCATTTACACCACTCTATATATACACATGCAGATTTTGTATCTATATATATATATATACACACACATACATACACACATCTCTATCTCTATATACACAAAGTATCGGGGGTGCAGTGAGGGTTAACCCGAAAATTCATCGATCATTGCCATGGACAAGTATGAGGTGGTGAAGGATCTTGGCTCAGGTAATTTCGGGGTTGCAAGGCTCTTGAGGCATAAAGAAACCAAAGATCTCGTTGCCATGAAATACATCGAGCGCGGTACGAAGGTATATATATATACATATCGATCTTGTATGTATATTATTTACCAAAATCAAACAAACTCAGTATATCTCACGTAAAAGTAAAGTCTGGTGATTGGACGTAGACCCTAATTTGTTAACTGTTATTCTTGCTATTTGTCGGATTTTCTGATTATGGTTTTTGTGCTAAAATGACGAATGCAGATTGATGAAAATGTGGCAAGAGAAATTATAAACCATAGGTCGCTTCGTCATCCTAATATTATCCGATTCAAGGAGGTATGTGTATGTATATGTATTTGTGTATATATGTATATGTATAAGTACATGTTTGTGTGTATATAAGCAAATTCATGATTTTTGAAACATGGAGTTTGGTTCTTATATATTTTATTTAACTATAGTTGGTTTTTATAGCAAAAATTAGCATTGGTTTTGACTAACATATCGTTTATATATGTGGATGAAGGTGGTACTAACACCGACACATCTAGCAATCGTGATGGAATACGCTGCTGGCGGAGAGCTCTTTGATCGTATCTGTACTGCAGGTCGATTTAGTGAAGACGAGGTTACGTCTTTTCTTAGTTCGTTGTGTTTTCATTTTGTGTACTTAACAAGCACAAACATATACGTGGGTCAAGTCGCCGCACATGCACCCTCGCCGTGACCGTGTTCAGTAATCGTATATAATTTCAGTATAAAATCACATATGATTTGATATTTTATGTTGTTTTATTTTAACAATATATATATATATATATATATATATATATATATAATATTATGCTATTATTAAATATTTGTTAAACAATTTGACAGGCAAGATACTTCTTCCAACAACTGATCTCTGGGGTCTCCTTCTGTCACTCCATGGTAAATTCATTTTCTATTTTCTCATAAAAATATAATAACATATAAATCTATATTCAGCAGCTTGTCTTTACTTGATAAGCCATGAAGTCAACCGTTACAGTTCTTTAAAATCGAAACATCATATCTAACCCGCTATGCGGATCGACTAATCTTACACTTGTTTTGCTGCTAGTATATTTGCACTTGCTTATGGTTTTTTTTATTATGTGATATGTAGCAAATATGCCATCGAGATTTGAAGTTAGAAAATACTCTTTTAGATGGAAGCCGAGCACCTCGCCTCAAAATCTGCGACTTCGGTTATTCAAAGGTTATAATCTAGTTTTCCTACGATCCTTTCCCCTTTTTGTTGTTGAACTTATATGTATAATTTGTTTCTCAAGTAAATAAAGGCCACTATTACCTGTTCTATGTTGTTATAACAAATTTAACTGATTTATTGTGTACTGAAAACGAGAAAATGAAATAAATTTAACAGTGAGGCATGCCTGTTTACAGTGCAATAGGTAACATATTTATCCAAAATATGAACATGTTATTCATCATGAATGTGTGATTCATGATGAATAAAAACACCAATACTCATCATGCATGTGTTATTCATAATGAATATCCATCTTGAAGAGGGACACGTGGCGACATGTGGGCGGTTCCCGGGTTACTATTCCATTTTGGGTTTTTAACAGAACTTCCCTCGTAAAATGGCCATGAAGAAAGAGGGAATTACGACACGTGCTTCACAATTAGACTATATTAATATATTAAAACACGGTTATTTTACTTTTTTTTTAACAGTCGTCGCTTCTACATTCAAGACCTAAATCAACGGTTGGAACTCCAGCTTACATCGCTCCAGAAGTTCTTTCTCGTCGAGAATATGATGGCAAGGTGCAAACCATATATAATCTCTTTAATTACATCACTTCTTCATATCAAAAGTTGGTACATATTCACATAAAAAATCGAGCCGTATAAACCACAAGGGTGGTGCCTGATTGGTTTGAACTTGACTTCAAAGGTAAAAAGTACCAGGAGGTCCCAGGTTCAAATCCAAGGAAGAATAAAAATCCCCTTGTGGTCACAGAGGTTCAAATACAGTGACTTCGAATTATCTGCAAAACAGGTGGTCGCCCTGCGATTAGTCGACTCGCATAGCAGGTTGGATATCCAGGTTAATAAAAAAAAATATTGATTTTGTTTATTTTCCTTTCCATACTTTGTAGTTGGCCGATGTGTGGTCGTGTGGAGTGACACTATACGTTATGTTGGTGGGAGCATACCCTTTTGAAGATCCATCCGATCCTAAAAACTTCAGAAAAACTATATCTGTAAGTGCCATTATCGCTACAAAAACTTAAAAAACAACCATTTATATACATATACACACACACATATATAGGTGGAGGTTCAAACGAGAACACATTCATATTACGAGAATGCAAGATCAATTGTTGTTTGTCTTGCAGCGTATTATGTCCATTCAATACAAGATCCCAGACTACGTTCATATTTCTCAAGAATGCAAACAACTTCTCTCACGCATATTCGTTGCAAATCCTTCACGGGTATGAAATATTTGTTGTTTTTTTTCGAAATAAGCCAAAGAAATGAAGTTTTCTTAACGAATTAACTCGTACCTTTTTATGATCGAAACAATAGAGGATTACGATCAAGGAAATCAAGAATCACCCGTGGTTCTTAAAGAATTTACCAAGGGAGCTCATGGAATCGACTCAAAACAACTATTACCAAAAAGACAACCCGAGTTTTTCCCTTCAGAGCGTGGACGAGATCATGAAGATCGTGGCGGAGGCGAGAAACCCTCCGCCATCGTCGAAATCAGTCGGGTATTTCGGGTGGGGAGCAGAGGAAGAAGATGAAGAGAAAGAGGAAGAAGTTGATGAAGAAGAAGTAGAAGAAGAAGAAGAAGATGAATATGAAAAGAGGGTAAAAGAGGTTCATGCAAGTGGTGAATTCAATATCATTTAAGCATATATTTCATATGATGTATTGCATTATGATTTTAACCAAAGTATGTATCTTTGTTTTTTTCTTGTAAGATTAATATTAATTATGACATTTCAAAAATCATATATATGATGTTTATTTCTGTATTTAGAGATTCTGGTTTTCGATTGCTTGGATTCCACTGAAAGTCGTGTATCACTTTCAGAGTGAAGTATTTCGATGGTACAATCAAAATTTCAATCGGATAAAAATTTGTGGTTTTCCAGAACAGAGATTTTTTCGTGTTATGAAATCTGTGTGTACCGAAAATCAAATGACCAAATCGTAGTTTTTCCCTCAAACGGTCGAAAACTGCCATAAGGTAGTTAAAAAACCGGGTTTAAAATTTCAAATTTGGATTTTTTATGCATTTTTCACGAAGCAGTATTACCCGAATAAAAAGTTCCCAAGCTCGACCCCAGCCAGGGGCTCTGCCCCTTGGACCCCACAGCGCCCCTGGACTCCCTTCGTTTAGGGGTTTCGCCCCTAAATCAAAATAAACCCAAACAAATGTGCATTCTGCACCTTCCTTACTTGTTCGATACTTATCATGATTACATTGGTAAAAAAATTAATCTCATTACACTTAAATGATATTAGTGATACAAATCACCAACATATGCAACATGTTGGTGAATCTTTAAAACCAAAGAATGGATCTAGTGAGCATAGACGTTTCAATTTTTTTGGAGGCCCTATTGCATCCAAAATTTTTGTTGGCATTGTATAAGAAATAACAGTATGCATATATGTTAAGCACAAAAGGTTTTTTTTTTTTTAAAGTAATAAAAAGACAAAATTACCCTTAAATATATAGGGCAGTATATATAGATGATGTTAGAATGCAGAAAATGACATGCTTTAAAATAAAATGGAAATTAATTGTATCCCAAAAAGAAAAATGAAAATAACGACTTTTGAACACCAATAATTGACCTGGAACAATTATTATAAAAGAACAAAGAAGATAAAATATCTAAAAAGATTCCATCCTTTCTCCTCATTTTGCAATGTATACTTTATTTTCAAATGCAAAATAATAATTAAATTATCTATACTATATTATAAAGCATTTCATAAAAACTCTTAAAAATAATCTTTTATGTATGAAGTACTGTTTATTGATTCATATGACTTAAAATTCAAGATTACAAATAATTTTGCATAAATACAACATATTAAAGCTTCATTTTTAAATTCGTGTAATTAACTGCAGATAAACATAATTAAATACAGAATAAACATCTCATTTTAAATATAAAATCGTATTATATCTATAGAGTGAAATAATAAAAACTAAACATTAAAATAAAGATTTATTTCGCTGCATTACACAAATATTCTTTTAGTTATACATAAATATTGTTTGCACAAATTTAATTCATAAAAGTCAACACAAATTTATTTATGAGTTATTACATCAAATCACTATATATATATATATATATATATATATATATATATATATATATATTTATTTATTAACCTCAATATCTAATTCACTATGTGAGACCATTAATCTTAGTAATCACTTATTTTACGGATAGCTCAGAGTCATCATATTTGAACCTTCGTGGTCATGGAAGAATTTTTATTTCTCTTTAAATTTGAACCTAAAATCTTTAGATACTTTTAACTTTTGAAACCCAGGTTTAAATCGATAGGACAACATCCTTATGGTTTAAAAAATGAAAATATTTATAGGTAATAACATCTCCCTATTTATTTTAAGGTGGCGTTTGTTTTTTAAGAGGTGCTGAAGTCTGAAGTCTGAATTCACTTCTGAATTTTAAGAGGTGGTGCTGAAGTCTGAAATCTGAATCAGTCAGACTGTTTGTTTTTACGTCTGAAATCTGAAATCTGAATCAATAAGACTGTTTGTTTTTGTAAACTGACAAACTTCTGAAGTCTGAAATCTGAATCAATTCATTTCAATTAAATTTAACTGAAATATCCAATCATTTAAACCATTTGTAAACTACCATATACTTTTAACACATTCAAAAATACGTCAATTGGTTCAAAACACAATAGAAAACACGAATAAAGTCTCATAACAACTAGAATCAATATTCATTTTGTAATTGTGTCGCAATTTCTTCTCTTAAACTAGAATCAATATTCATTTTGTTTTCCGTCTGCAGCACGACCAATCAGCAGCTGCTTTGCTGCTTTTCTTCCGTCTGTAGCACGACCAATCAGCAGCTGCTTTGCTGCTTTTCTTTCGTCTGCTGCACGAGTAAACAGCAGCTACTCGCTGCCTGATCTCCCGCTGCTGCACGAGCAAAACAGCAGCTACTCGCTRCTTGATCTTCCGCTGCTGCACAAGCCAAAACAGCAGCTCGTTCCCGTCTGATGTGCGACCAAACGGCAGCTGCCAAACAACAACCGTTCCCGTCCGATGCGCGACCAAACAGCAGCTGTTTGCTACTTCTTTTCCGTCGACCAACGACCCAACAGCAGCCGATGCATCTGTCTTCAACCAGCATCTACCGACTGCTTCTTCGTGAGCCAAACAGTCCCTCTGCGCGCGGCCAAACAGCATAAACAGCAGCTGTTGTTGTTGGGTTTGAAATCAAATAACATACAATAACTACAGCAGCTAAAACCCCATCAAATTCTTGCCCACATTGCCAAAACCCCTTATTATGATTTCCAACACGCAAAACTWCTCAACAAAAACACATAAGRAAACATGATCAAGAAAATTTGCCAAAACCCCATATAAAGAATCTTAAGAAAAGGTAAAAACCGACCTCACCCATTAAACAAATATGTCTAAAGAACCTCAACATTTTCTGGATCAAATTCTAGAAAACATACAAATTGCTCAAGATCATTAGAGTTTTCAAAAATCATATCATTTGCCACTTCAGTTTTCCAAATCAACACCCATTTCACATTCATAAACATCTAGGTGTCCCATTAAAGTATGTATAAATTGCATAACTATCAAGTAATAAAGCATACCCATCAATCAAAAACCCTTACTAGCAATCAAGAAACAGCAAATGGAAGTGCAAAAGTACCTTATTAGGGATTCAAACTCCAATCAAACAGACAACGGTAGAAAACGTATTTTAGTTAATATAAAATTATGTATTTTAATGTGATAATGATAAATATTAAAAATATTAAGTCAAAAAATATTCAATATTGGGCTTATTTCGAAGGTATTGACGCGACGATTATAATGGTGTAACTTGTTAAAATTAAAACGTATTTTTTAAACATATTTTAATTGATATACGAAATTCTATGTTAATTTGATCAGGGTATAAAATGAAAAATTTAAAAGGAAAGGATATAAAGTAAATTAATTAACTAATTTTAGGGGTAAAAAATGTAAATTTAAATTTTTTAAAATAAAAAAAAATGCATGTGAGTGAATGAGTGTATGAATTCAAGAATGTGACACGAAGGGGGGAGGGGGACAAATGACAGGGGTAGAAAGGTGTACAGGGGGTATGAATATCAACCCCCTGTTTTAATTAGTAATATAACTCCAACCACATTCAAAAACAGATGTTGACTTGGACTTTCACTGTCTATAAACATTTCTTATAGAAAGGTGTACAGGGGGTATGAATATCAACCCCCTGTTTTAATTAGTAATATAACTCCATCCACATTCAAAAACAGATGTTGACTTGGACTTTCACTGTCTATAAACATTTCTTATTAGTCTTCATACAATCATGACTCCCATCCATAATCCATCTCCCAAATCATTCATCATGTTTGTTCCTTCTTCATCAGCTCCTGATCATAAATTCGATGTATTTTTAAGTTTTAGAGGTTTCGACACTCGTCTTAATTTCACTGATCACCTTCGTAAGGCGCTCACCGGTGCTAAAATCACTGCCTTTTACGATGATCACGAGATTGAAACCGGAGAAGATCTGAAACCGGAATTGGAGAATGCAATCAAAGCATCAAGGGCTTCTATTACCGTCTTGTCTAAGAATTATGCCTCTTCCACATGGTGTCTTGATGAACTGGTATTGATCCTCGAACAACCCTCCGACCATATTATTGTCCCCATCTTCTATCACGTCGAGCCCACCGACGTCAAGAAGCAACAAAGCAGTTTTGGAGATGCAATGACAAAGCATAGACAGAGGATGGAGGCTGAGACAAATGCAGAGAAAAAAAGTCAGTTGGGTCAAAAACTGGATCTATGGAGTGCAGCACTTACAAGAATTGGGAATTTGAAAGGACACAATGCAAAGGGCCGGTAACTAGTTTCTTACTTATGCTTATGCAATTCAATATGTTTGTTTTTGATTTTCAAGTTTGAAGCTAATTTTCAATTATGTGATCTCATAAATAAATCCATTTAGATAGATTACTATTGCTAGCAGAAAAAAGTAGAACACAGATTCTGATCTGTGTTCACCAAGTTCAAAACATCTGTGAGCAATGACAATCCTACTAACATCAAGTTTAATGGTCTTGTTGAAACAAGCTGAAAGTTGTGGGTCATCTGAAAATTTTGTATGCATTGGTAGCTCCGGTCTTATTATCCATTAAAATTAAGACGTGACATACGAAATATTTGTGTGGTATATGATTTTATCGTATAAGTAGTTATAGCAAAATTACATGCTTCATCTATCGTATAACCGCAACAGTATTATTCCGTGACAAAAAATAGCAACTTTTTTACACCGACCGAAAATGCAAGAAAGAATTATTTATTTGCAAATTGACATATTTTTAGATATTATGGCTGGAATTGATTTTGGTTGAACAAGGGGAAGTTTAAATGTGTGAGTGTGACTAATAGAAAAGTTATCTACATGCATTATATAATATTGAAACAAAATTAAAAATGATAGCAAAATATGATGTATTTGATATTGATGTAATTTTCAGGCTAGAGACGGAGTTGCTTGAAGAAATTGTGTCCAACATCCATCGTAGATTAGGTGTTCCCTTAAGTATTGCTCCCCCAGTCCTTATCGGCATGAAAAGTTACATTAAGTTCATTAGTTTATGGTTGAAAAATGGATCTTCTGATACTGTTGACATCCTCACAATTTTAGGCATGGGTGGAATTGGGAAGACATCTTTAGCCAAAAATGTCTATGGGTTACATTGTCGTATGTTCCAGAGAAGCAGCTTTATTGAAGATATTGGTAAGAGTGACCAACGCACCATCTTGCTTGATTTACGAAAAAGACTTGGGGGTGAAAATACAAGAGCAACTTCAATTCAAGTTCAATATGATTTTGTAAACGTCTCTAGGATTGAGAATGTAATAGCCCAAAAGAAGGTGTTTCTGGTTCTTGATGGTATTGACAGAGTTGATCAGTTGGATATGTTGATTGGAAACACACGTTTTCATCCGGGAAGTAAAATCATAATAACGACTAATGATGCATCTTTAACGCCTAAGTGTGCATTATTCAAAGAGGAACCTAAACCCAAGCATGTACAGCTCTTGCTCAGAGGCTTAGATAAGATTGAATCGCTAGAGCTTCTAAGTTCTCAGGCATTCATGTGCAAAAATCCCAAGGAAGGTTATGAAGAGGTGTCGAATAAACTTGTGGAGTATTGTGAAGGGCTTCCATTGGCTCTTAAAGTTTTGGGCAAGTCTTTATGTAACCGAACTGTAGCTCAATGGGAGGATTTCATACAAGTGCTGCAGAATGAAATTAGTTCTCATATAAAAGATAACTTGCAAAGGAGCTTTGACACACTGCCATTTAACAATGATAAGGAACTATTTAAGCATATTGCTTGCTTTTTTGTTGGAAAAGATAGAGAATCAACTGAAACAATACTAAAGGCATGTAAGATTCCTACAGTAGCCGGGATCAAGAATCTCATTGATAGATGTCTTCTCAGGATTGAAGGGGATAACAAGTTGATGATGCATCAATTGCTTCAAAAAATGGGAAGAGATGTAGTACGTCATGAATCACTTAAGAAGCCATGGAAACGTAGTCTCTTATGGTGTAATGAAGAATCATTCAAAGTTTTGAAATATAAAAAGGTAAGTTTCCTTGTATGCTTGTTAGCAAATACGCATGTTCCAAGTATTTTGTATCATCTATCTACATTTATATAACATTTTAACTTTTTTTCCCCATTCCTCTGCTCTTAGGGTAAGGGAAATCTTCTAGGCCTTGCGCTTGATGTGAGAATGCTTGAGAAAAAGTTACATTCATCAAGTGAGTTGCATACAGAAGCATTGAGGAAGATGGATAATCTAATGCTTCTACAACTCGATTATGTGCAACTCAATGGGTCCTATAAAAACTTTCCAGAAGAATTACGATGGTTGTGTATGCATAGGTTTCCATTACAGTCTATACCTTTAGACTTACCCATGGAGAATTTGGTTGCTCTTGACATGTCTTATAGCAATTTTGAATCTTTTGGCATGTCTTTTAGTAACCCGCATCAACTTGAGAATAGGCCAAGGGTAAGAAATTTGAAGTGCCAACTTCCATTTTTATTATTCTTCCATGTTCGGTTAATGCGATTCGCTAATTATTTTACCTTATCTCCATTTACAACAGTTAACTGAGTCATGCTCAAAAGGTGGTAAACAATTGCTCGGATCATTGAAGATTCTTGATCTAAGTTTCTGTGAACAACTTCGTACTCTGGGTGGCTTTCTTGAATTCCCTGCCCTTGAGAGATTAATACTTGTAAAATGCAAAGAATTGACTGAGGTTTGTGGAACAATTGAGAACTGTGTTAAACTTGTTCTTATTGATTTGAGTTACTGCAATATGCTTAAAAAGCTTCCAAGGGCTGTGGTTAAGTTAAAGAAGGTCGAAACACTATTACTAGATGGTTGCAATCTCGGAGAATTTCCAATCGATATGAATTTACCAGAAATGGTCATACCTAGAGATTTCAGGTCCTTTGTGGTTTCTTTATCGAGTTCATTAGCTTGCTTGTCACTTAAAAACAATAATTTGTGCAATGAATCCTTTCCAATGGATTTTAGTAGCCTATCCATGTTGAAGGAGTTATATTTAGATGGCAATTCAATCATGTCCCTGCCCAACTGTGTGAGAAGCCTCCCAAGGCTTGAGAAACTTAGCATGGAAAAGTGTCTTATGCTGAAGACATTCGAGCAATATCCTCCATGTACACTAAAAGAATTGAAATTTGATAGATGTCATTCATTACAGAAAATTGTATTTGATAAAGAGATGTCCCCACTCACGTTTAGTATGAATCCATGCTGTACATCAGATTCACGTGATGTGATTGAAGGAATGTTGAAAGTCGACGCTATGAAGCTTGTTCCGAAAGAGGTAGTATGTGGTTTGGGCTGGACTAATTTAGAGTCCGTAAACGAACAACAGGTATGGACTTGCCATCTAAAGACTCACAAATTTGAAGTCCAAATTTCCTGTAATTAACTATCTATGTACATATAATTCATGCTGATTATGCTTGTATTTGGCAGATGGTTTATGAATTTGGGATCTTCAGCACAATTTATGGGGGGGAGGAGCTTCCAAATTGGATTAGTGATCACATAAGCGAGGAGTCATCAATATCGTTTAACATCCCATCATCTTCTCACAAGCTTAGAGGATTGAATTTCTGCTATGTGTTTATGGCTCGACTTCCCTATTACCTTTATCTGCCAAGAATCATAATTAGTAATAAAACGAAGAACCACACGTGGATATACCACCGTTATAGTTACCATGTTATGCCCCATGCAGAGTGTGAAATACTTTTGAGCCATTGGATGTTTGGGAAGAATGAGATGGAAGATGGTGACCAAATCATGATTACCATATCAAAGGGGGATGTAAATGGTATAAGGAAGTGTGGTGTGAGTCTCGTCTATGATGATGATCAGGTAAAAATGGAAGAAGAAGATCCGTTGAGTGATTACAAGTTGTGGAATCATATTATTGGTGGCAATCTCTCTCCTTTTCAAACTACTCCAGGAGAATACATCCTAGACGTCAGACGCTTTTTCTGTGGAACTGGTTTTCAGGATGTTAACATTATGAAGGTAAAAGTTATATTCATTCATTCTATTATGCATCATTACCTGCACTTGGATATTTTCAGAAGGAGAATCCTTAGATAACATCCATAAGTTGTTAAAACAACAATGTGAACCATAAGGGTGGTGCCTGATTGGTTTGAGCTTGGCTCCAAAGGTCAAAAGTGCTTGGAGGTCCCATGTTTAAATTCAAGGATGAATAAAAATCCCTTGTGGCTATGGAAGTTCAAATGCAATGACTCTAGGCTATCCGCAAAACAAGTGGTTGCCCTGGATTAGTCGGCTCGCATAGCGGATTAGATATTCACTGCGGATGCAAACAAGGGTCATTGGGGTCCTGGGCCCCAACAATTTTTTTTTACAAAGCCCAATTTTTTTTAACTTGTAATTTTTAATTTATTTCATTTGGGCACTCACAGAGTCACAGCAGTAAGCAGTTCAGGACTTCACATTTCATTTCACAATCACAGTTCTGGAAGAGACGAAGGACGCAGTAGCACCGAAGCAGGGAAGAAGACACGAACGAGGACGAGTGGACGACCCTGTTCTCCTGTGCTGTTCATCGCTGGCTCGCTGCGAGTCTGCGACCAGAGTGCAGAGTACCAGACGGCCGACGCCGACGGTCCAGACGACGGACTGAGACGAGACGACCAGCAGGCTGCGCTGCCTGTGCGCGACTTAGGTTTTTGATTCGGCCTTCGGGTAAAAATTCTAATTCCAGTCTTTAATTTTGATTGCTTATTGATGATTTGGTAAATGGTAAATGCTTTAGATTAGGTTAATTTTGTAGGTGGTTGTTTGCTTATTGGTGATTTGGTAAATGCTTTAGATTAGGTTAATTTTGTAGGCAATTTTGTAGACAAATCAAATGGAAATGTCAAATGATAGCTTAATTTTGTAGGCAATTTTGTAGGCAAATTAAATGGAAATGTCAAATGTTAGGTTAATTTTGCAAATAGAAATGTTAGGTTAATTTTGCAATTTTGTGGGAAAATGGAAATGTTAGGTTAATTTTGCAAATGGAAATGTTAGGTTAATTTTGTAGGAAAATAGAAATGTTAGACAAATGGAAATGTTAGGTTAATTTTCCAATTTTGTGTTGAAAAGCAGTATGCAAGACAATTAAAGATCCAAGTGTTATTTGTGAATTATATGATCAGGCAGATGGAATAATTCCTAGTTGATAGGTCTCCTTGGGTGCTCATCTTAAGAAGAGTACTAAAAGATTAAAACATAAGCCTTAGAAGTTACTTTCCACCACTTCATTGCATTTCAGTAAGCAGGATAGTCAGTACCACACATGAAAAGGTAAATATACAAGTCATATTCACTCAACAAATACAAATTGTAGGGTCAATGTCTGGCTTACTTCAACCACATCAGTTATCTTTATTTGGTTAACCGAACAGTTTAAGCTGAAAATGAAAACCCGAAATCTTTTTTGGTTCGGACGAATTGTTCGGTTTCAAAAAAATTTCGACTCTCCTAAGTGTGCCCCCAACCATAATAGTTTCTAGATCCGCCACTGATATTCAGGTTAATAAAAAAATGTGCTGCTTCTACCTTCATGCACCTAGATGGGAATTATAGTTAATGCATTACTTTTTTTTATTAGAATACGGAGTTAAGCTTACAGGTTTCGCCAACGGAAGTTGAAACTTTAGAGGTTTCTCCAACGGAAGCTCAAAGTTTAGAGGTTTCTCGGATGGAAGTTGAGCGTAGTTTGTGGCATGGTTGCATTTGTTGTGTAACCCTTTGATGTACAGGTTCCTTCTCTCATTACATGAATAAAATCCACAAACAACCAAAATTGTTTTAATTGATCAAAGTTTGTTAAAACAGTGAATATTTCTCAAAAGCTTATAGTGGATATGTGATGCTTATCACGTATGATTCTGTCATGGGAGCTAATATGAAGCGTGGTATGGAATATGGATCATCTGATGCTTGCTTTTCTTCATACACATGTTTTTGCAAGATCATTTGAACCTTCGATGTGGTTTAACATGTTGCTCCTGATGTATGCAGGGGAATCAAAGAACGTTCAACGCTCACTTCCTTGCTGGTCTCCTTCAAAGCACAACATATTCCCCATTTGTTCGATTCCAAAATTACCAAAAGAACTTTGCTGGGAAATCGTAACAGTTTCTTCTCCATGATTTCTTGTTACTAAATTTTAGAAACAAACCATGAGTTACAAGTGTTGGAACTAGGAAGGATTGTATCAGCTAGCAGGTATGAACTTGTTGCATTTGTTGCAGATAGTCAATGTAAATGGATTAGTGGATTTGCAGGTACTCTGCTATTATATATGCTAACAGAAAATAGAATAGCATTTGGTTTGCAAACAACAGAAGAACACAACTCTCACCCAAATTGACTCCAACATAAAACCAACTTAGAAGACCTTTCCCCTTGTTTTTACTGCAGTTGTCTTGGTCTTGATCTGTTAGATTACATGGAACCCGAGATTACTTTTCCATCATATACATAAGAGAAATTGTCCAAGTCTGTCCCTCCAATTCAGTGGCGGACCTAGGAATTTCTTTGTGCGGGTGCATCTTTAAGATGGGTCAAGGATCCGTAAAGTCGCGGTTTGACCTGGGGGAAAGTCAATGCGGTTTGACTCAGGAAAAAGTCAATTGCTTAGAAGTTAAGGAACAAAATACATTTTTTCAAATAAAATTGATCAAAGATCATATATATATATATATAGGGGTTTAATCAAATGAGAACTAAATTGTTTGTGGTAACTGTGAGAACCAATCTCAGCCACATATTATAATAATCAATGGGTAAGATTAAAAGGAATCTTAATTAATGTATTTCTATAAATAAATTACTGTCATTTAATGACAATATATGAACAAGGGCAAGATGGTCATTTTGTACGTTAATATTCTTGTTCAATTGGAATCCAAATATAGTGAAGATACTTTCCTGTATTTGAGACGGAGACGATTGCCTTAAGCCCTAAAGTAATCTCAATTTGTGCTACATTGTGGTACATTTAGTGTTGATCATAATCTGTTGGAAAATGRTGTGATACATTGTGATAACATTTAGCMTTTGTAATAATATTTGACTGGACATTGTGATAATCAATTCGTGCTACATTGTGGTAACAGCACATCTGCTATATAAAATCTGCAGA